GTATACTGTAGTCTCCTTAGTGTATCGTGAGGTAATGTATAGTGGTTTTTGTAAACCATGGTTCTGTATTGTTTTTACTGCACTGTTTTCACTATTTAATTTACTGTTTTTACTGTAAGTTATTGTACTGTAAGTTCTCTACTGTAAATGTAGTGTTCTGTAATTCTGCATTTTTACTGTGAATTATTAAATTCTGTATTGTTATTTTACTGTAAATTCTGTTTTTTTACCATTTTTCACTGTAAGTTTTTTATTAATGCTTAACCGTACCTTAGTTTCTGTAGCTACCGTGTTGGCTTACTATATTTTACCCTACCGTAACCGTGGCTTTGTATAGCGTTTCTGTATGATGTTTGTACTGTAATAAACCTGTTTGTGCAACTAAATTGGTTGCTTGGATTACGGTTTTTCCGGCAAACTGCGTTCTGTTGATTCTCCGAAAACAGCTGCTTGCCAAAAGGCACTCGTTCTTCTGGTACTCGTTACGGGCATAGGTGGATCGTTGCGGTGGTGGGTCTTCAGCTTCCCCCCTCCCCCTCCCTCCCCCTCTCCCACGGCCTTCTCCCTTCCTCCGCGCCTCCCTCACCTTCCCCGCAGCGGCATAGGCACCAGTGCCCAGGTCTAAGGCTAAAACTAGAGTAAACTAAAGCCTAAAGTAATTCTAAACCAAGGAAAAACGAAATCAAATGAGACGGGAAGGGTTGAAGAAACAGAAGGAAAGCAGAGATGGTGAAGGAGCAGATTATACGTGTGAAACATGTGAAGAGGATATGTGCTAAGGACGAATGTGGGTACGGTTGTCGGTCTGTTTCATCCCTTAACTGTAAACACAGACATTAAGTGGTGTGGAGTGGGTCGGGAATCATCACGTGCCAATGTTACAACTCTATTCCCAGTTATTATACGTTTTGTACTGTGTAACAGCAGTACAAAACGCATATTGTTACGGGGTTGTCTGTGTGTGTGTTTTTGTGTCCGCAGCAACTTGTCCGCAACTTTCAACTCGGGAACCACAAAAGCTAGGAAGCTGGAAATTTAGGGTAACGTTTCCCGCAGCAACTTGTCCGCAACTTTCAACTCGGGAACCACAAAAGCTATGAAGCTGAAAATTTAAGGGGCGTTCCCACCCACGTGTGACCCCGCAAATTTAAATTCAGCTTCCCCGTACCCGCGGGTAACGCGTACGGCCCTCTGAAAGTTTTTTACGGGTAAGTTAATATCTCGGGAACCACGGAGTCTTGGAGGCTGGAAATTTAGGGTAATGACTCACTGCCCATGCTCAACCTTGCCT